TAAGAATTCTTCTTCTAAATGTTCCCTTAAGCCCCCTGGGCCAATCAGAGGGTCAGAAGCTTTGGGGGACAAGGGGGGGCAGGATAGACACCCTGTCCTAGTCCCATGGGAACTGATAGAAAGAGGAAATTGATGTCCAAGGGTCCTTTTAAAACTTAAACTGAAAGTTTCTTTTTGTAATTTTAATTTGTTCAATCAAAACACCTGTTTATCGAGCACCTACGATGAGCCAGGTTGTAGAATCCCATCTGGGAAGAGACTTATTAGTCACGGAGGGGCAGCCCTGCTTGGAGCAGATGCTGTTAAATGTCCCTTCCCAGGCTGGTTCACAGTTTTTAACAGATTTCTCAGGTCATCATTGTGACCCCAAGCCTCGCTGGCAGATTGTTCTATAGTATTTTTATTTACTGAGCGGCCACACTAGCATGAAGGCGATTAAAAAGCCCGTGATCTCAACTCACTCTCAGTGCAAAGAGACTGGTTCTCGCTGCTTCGCTCAGCAGTGAAACGAGAGCCGCCATTTACCGACGGCTCGCCGCTCCCGAGCCCTCTGCCGAGTGCTTTACACGTGTCCCCCTCGGTGATTCCTCACTGCGGAGGTCGGAGGTCGGTAGTCATCGTTCCCATTTTACAGGTGAGGAAACTGAGCCTCAGAGAGGTTACACAAAGAGTGAAGTGGCTGAGCCAGAATTTGGACTCAGGTCTGTGTGACCCCCTTCCCTCCCCCCGCCCCAAGCTTGTGAGCTGACTGCCGGTCCCAAGGCATTGCTAGTTCAAGGGCAAGCCCAAGCCAGGGGTGTGCAGGGAGCTGGGGAGCCTGACGTAGGCCCATGGTAAAGTGTTGCATTTGGGGACACTGCAGGGCAGGCTGGATGGTTTAACTGGGGTTTTATGCATTTGTCCCCTGCCTTTTGCATTCCTGCTTTCTACCAGGGCGCTGGGAGGAGCATCTATTTTGCAAACAGGACCTGTTTGACTTACTCCCTAGGACATGGGAAGCTTTTCTTACCTCCTTCCTGCCCCCTCCCCCACCGATCCCCAAGTTCCTCCCAAGGTCCTTTGCACTATGAGCGCCCGGAGCCTGCCTGTGTGTGTGGTGGGGATGGCTGTGGGGTGTTTGGAACCTCGGTGAGGCCTCCGGCTCAGCCGGAGAGGCAATAAGCTTGGGGAGTTCCGTTCTGGGTTCTGACCTTGCTGGTTCGTTTGCTCTTTTGTAAGAGGAATTTCGTACCTTGGAGACGCTTTGTACATATTTGTAATGACTTTATTAAAAAACTGGTTGTGCGCTTCCAGCGAAAGGCCTTTGCGTTTTCATTTCCTCGTGGAAGGCTGGTCCCCAAAGACTATGGGAGGATCTGGCCGCACACCCAACCTCCCCAGGGGCAGAGGGGAGGTCACACAGTCACTTCCCTTCTCCGTCTCATATTCCTGAGAACCCACCGAGGGGAGGGTTGGCCTAAACCAGGGGTCCTCAAACTTTTTAAACAGGGGGCCAGTTCACTGTCCCTCAAACCATTGGAGGCCGGACTATAGTTTAAAAAAAAACTATGAACAAATTCCTATGCACACTGCCCATATCTTATTTTGAAGTAAAAAAACAAAACGGGAACAAATACAATATTTGTATTTGCATGTGGCCCGCGGGCCGTAGTTTGAGGACCCCTGGCCTAAACAGTACCCTTGGGCTGGGCAGCGGGTTGGGGGAACTTGCCCAATGGTTCATGTTCAAGGTCATGCGCAGAACCATCACTAAGCATGTCATCATGTAGATAAGCTAATGAGCCTGCACACTGATATCTCCAACGAGGGGCAAATGGGGCCACTCTGGTGGGGCACTTCCCCCTGCATTTACCTGGTCTGAGTGAGATGTACCAAGAGACCAAGTTCTAGTCTCTTCCTTGGAACAGTGGGGTGAGGACAGGTTGTTTTCTAGATAACAGACCCTCTCTTTTCCTTTAGGGACCCACCCCTCCCCCACTCTCAGTCAATGTGACTTAGAGCCATAGACGCCATCCTCCCACCCACCTCTGTCCCCACTTCCTGGGCTCACCACCCTACCCAGGCCTGGCCAGCCCGCCAAGTCCCAAAGGCTAACGTGAAAGGTGTGGAGACAAGTTAACCAGTCAACCTTGGAGCACAAAGCCACTGGAGGTCACTTTACTACCACGTGGGATTGGACTGCCTGCAAATCCAACACTTCCGAGGAAAACAGCATTGAGGGCCGGAAAGACATGATTTTATTTTTTAAAATATATTTTTTATTTATTTCAGAGAGGAAGAGAGAGATACAAACATCGATGATGAGAGAGAATCATTGATCGGCTGCCTCCTGCACACCCCCCACTGGGGACCGAACCCGCAACTTGGGCATGTGCCCTGACCAGAATCAAACCGTGACCTCCTGGTTCGGAGGTCGAAGCTCAACCACTGAGCCACGCTCGTTGGGCCAGAAAGACATGATTTTAATATTGTCACCTGAGTCTCTGAATCCCACTGTACCTGAAGCCCATATTGTTATAGGAACCACATTAAGTCCTTTTATTGAAGCCGCGTTTGAGTTGGTTTTCAAGTAATTGCAACCAGAAAGTTCTGCCGGATGACATGTTATGGTGGCTTCGCAGTGTTGCCTGGAGAGGCGTGAGTTGTCACCTGGTGCTATTACCACTGAGTCTTCAACAACTCGGGTTTGAGCCGAGCGGGTCTACTGATACACAGTTTTTCTCAATATTGTAAATGTATTTTCTCTTCCTTATGACTTTCTTAATAACACTGTCTTTTTTCTGGCTTACTTTAAGAATACAGTACATAACACATATAATGGGCAAAATATGTGTTAATCGGTTATTTACATTATCCGTAAGGCTTCCAGTCAATAGGAGGCTATTAGTCGTTAAGTTTTGGGGAGTCAAAAGTTACAGGTAGATTTTTCTACTGCACAGGGGGGAGGGTTGGCACCCCAAACTGCCATGTTGTTTAAAGGTCAACTGTAATTTACAATTTAAATATCCATCATAATCCATCAATGGAAAAACTGTCCTTAAATCAGCCTATATGTTCTAGGTCCGTGCAGCCTATAGCTAACCTCCGTGGTGGGCACTGCAGGTGTCACATCCGCATCCCTTCTACCAGTTCCATGTTCCGTCCTGGACCTTTGTGGCACCTGGCACCTTCAGAGGGTGGGGCCTCCTCATTGGAGACCGGAAGGTTCCCCCTGCACCCTGCCCCCTGCCCCTAATCACCCCATCGCCAAGGACTGAGCGTGGGATCACAAAGACCTCAGGGTGGGACGACTCTGAGATGCACCTGGCGCTCTAAGGCCCCGCCTCAAACCGTGAGCTGTGCCTTCTTGGAAAGGCGCCTTCTTGTTGGCCTCTCCCCGCTCCACTCATTCCCTTACTGGTTTCTCCGGAAGCGCTTCCTTAATAAATCACGTGTCACTCGATGGGGCTGCTCTGGAAAAACCAGCGTCAGATGCCACCACTGCACCAAGTGCTTCTTTGCATTTCTCCCCAAACGGTCCCACCTGGCTCACGAGGCGACCGGAGACCCAAGACCAGGAACGTAAGTGTGGTCGGCGGATGTTATTTATTGGCAGAAGGGAATGTAGGAGGACGTTAAAAACACCAAGGCGGCTCTGTCTGGCCCAGAGCAAAAGCCCTGAAAGATCCCAGCCTCGCTTCACGAGTCCTGCAGATCTTGTGCCTCTCTCTCCTCTGCGGAGGGTGGAGTCTGTGACATCCAGGCCCGAAGCTGCCTTTTCACCCCCTCGATCATTATGCCCGAGACAGTCCACCTTAAGAGGGCCGTTTCCAAGGACTTCCTGGGACTCGAGTCAGTGAGTCATAAAATATGAAGAGCAGGGTACTCCGATCTGATCTGACTTTGGGTGAATTCTGCTCAAAGTAAAGGAGTTGCAGAGCCAAGACGGGGAAGGCAGAGAGGCACCGTTCTTCCCTTCCAAGAGCGACGCCTGGCAGCTTTTACTCTTGGGCTGGGGAACACATTTGGCCTGACATCTGGAAAACCCTGCACTGGCCACTCTTCCTCCCTAGAGCTGAAGTTAAATCCTCCCACCCGAGCGGAAACCTCGAGAGGGTTTTCCCTGGAGGGTGGGGGGACCAATAAATAAAATCCTACGGTCAATCATCTCACCTGCCCCTGAATGTCCCCCACATGTGTCTGACACTTTAAAAACAGATTTTTAAATTTATTTTCAGACCTTTGTGGCACCTGGCCAGATGGGCCTGGGCTGGAAACTCAGTGCACACGGCTAGGAAGGGAGAATGAAAAACACCGACTTGAGAGGGAAACATCGATCGGCTGCGTCTTACAGGCCCACCCAGCGGGGATCGAGCCTGCAATCCCGGGCATGTGCCCTGGCTGGGAATCGAACCTCTCAGGGCACGGGACGATGCCCAACCAATGGAGCCACACCGGCCAGGGCCACAGGGGACACTCTTTATAGTGTCAGGGGCACGGCTTGTTTTAGCAGACTGTCCGAGAAGTTTTGTGTGTGTGTGGCACGAGTGTAACTGACAAACCAGTGGTGTATTCACTGGTTATCAGCATCCTCAGTTTCCCTGGTTCCAGCAGATGATACACTAGACTTCCTCACTCTGGAGATGGCTACAGGGAGGTGGAGTGGTTTCCCAAAGTCATGCCAAGTTTAGAAAATAAACTAGCAAACAAAATAGAAACATACTCTTAGGCAGAGAACAGACTGACAGCTGTTAGAGGGGCGGGGCTGGGGGGCCGGGTGAAAAAGGTGAAGGGATTAAGCACACAAAAAAATCAACTCATAGACACAGACCACAGTATGGCGATTACCAGAGGGAAAGGGGGCAGGGGAGGTGGAAGAGGTACAGGGGGGATGAATGGTGATGGAAGGAGACGTGACGTGGGTAGTGAACACACAAGACGATATACAGATGATGTACTATAGGATTGTACACGTGAAACCCATATAATTTTATTAACCAATTCACCCAATAAATTAAAAATTAAATTAAATTAATTTAATAGACAGCTCTATCTGCTCTGTCACATGCTACCACTTTAATGCCTTCTCCAGCTCCCATTTCTCCAGCCTCTTTGATGGCACCTGCACACAGGGACCTCTTTCCGGTAAAAACCAGTTGCAGAAGATTGTGTCCCTTCCCCTTGGTTCTTCCTCAAGGCAGAGGGAACAGAGAAGCCGTGTCCACTGGGCTCTGCTTCCCTCCACTTCCCTTTCTGACTTGATTATCCAGGCAAGTGGGATTGTAACAGCACGGCCATCGCCATAGTAACAGAGCTTGAAAGATGCCATGCAACCCTGGAAGGGATATCAGGAAAGCGCCAGGGACGTCAGGGAGAAGAAAAGGTGCTGGCTCCACAGCGCAGGGGGCCACGTGTCCAGAGTCTGCTGGGGACGGGGTGGGCATGCTCACACCGGCCGAGGGCAAGGGGGCAGCAAGGCTCCCATCTCCCCTCCGGCTTTCTTGCTAGTCTGCTCCCCAGCCACCCAGATGGCTTTCTCTGAAATGCCGTGGGCACCAGCCCATTGTGTTGGGTTGACAGTGAGAGGATAGGGCTGGGAGAAGGATAGGACAGGCAGGGTTCTGGTGGCATCTACATGACCTCCTGTGCCACCTCCTCCCAGATCTCAAAGCAGGGAGGGGAGTGGCTCTGCTATAGAGATTAGTAGCTCTCATACAGAACTACTCATGAGCTCTATATGAGAGCTACTCTCCGCCACCACCCTGGCTTGTGGACAAATCCCTAACATGGACTGTCCCTTTTGCTCTGGAGGCTACCAGGGGAGAGGGAATGTCCACAGGGGCTGTTGACAGATCTGAGGCGTGAGTGAGGGAGGGGATGGGAGGGAGGAAAGAGAAATACAGATGGGTGCAGAGACCCAGTGGTGTCTGTATTTGGGCCAAAGCTGGCTTTTCTTGGTACCCACACGTGATGAAGCACCCTGGCCCAGAGCTCGGGAAGAAAGCAATTTCAGGACCAAGTCTTGCCTTCTCAATGCGGTCCACATTAAATATGCCACGCACCCGGGCCACCCATGCGCATCAAAATCACCTCTTACGGTTTTAAGAAACCTTGTGTGCCGGGCCCCACGCCGCAGTGTCTGAGCAGCGGGTCAGCATGGTGGCTCTGAAGCCAGGCGGGCCTGGCTGGAAACTCGGTGCACACGGCTGGCTGGGTGACCCCGGCACGGTTACCACACCAGCTCTGTGCCACGGTTTCCTCCGCTGTGCCAGGGAAGTCATCCAGGCAGGATGCCTGATGCCGTGCCTGGCTCACTCTGGGCGGGGCCAGGCATCTGAGTCTGAAAAAGACTTCACAGTGACCCCCATCTAGACCCGGGCCGTGGTGGGAGGCAGTGACATCCAGGTCCCTCCCCAGTGGGCAGCCTCGGGCATTCGGTTCTCGAGTAAAATAACCAACAGGCGGGACCTTGTCTAGTCCTGGTTCCTTGACTAGGAGGGGATGGGAGACCTACCTGGGCAGAGACCGAGTCTGAGTTAGGAGGCTTCCCCATACGTAGGGAAGGATGAACTGAGCCAGGGAACAAACGATGAAGGTGAAGGTGGGGGGAACAGAAAGCTTTAGGGAAAGAGGTGGAGAAAGGCGGGAGGCAGGACACGAAGAGCTTGCGGCCTGTTTCCCAGGAAGTCCCCAGAGCTGGACCCGGCCACACGGACCCTCCGTCATCTCCCTGGGCGTGCCGGAGCGTCGGTGCTAGTACACCTGGAAGTGTGCCGAAGTGGCCCCGTCCTTCCAGCAGCGCACGGTGTCCACGGCAACGGAGCGGCAGAGCGGGCAGGTGCGCTCGCGGTCCAGCCAGAGGCAGAGGCACTCCTCACAGAACACGTGCTGCGGGGACAGCAATCAGGGCCACCAGGATGCTTTACTGGGCGCCCACGCCATGCCCACCTCGGTCCGAGGAGCTGGGGACTCAGCAGCCAACAAAACAGACAGTTCTGCCCTCCTGGAGCTTGCACTCTAGTGGAGGAGACAACTGGCAAAATGAATCTTTAAAACGTAAAGAATGTCAGTTTCAAGTGCTAGGATGGAAATGCAGGGGAGGGGGCATAGGGTATACTGTGGGGTGGGGGTGAGGGGTGCAGTGTTAAACAGGGTGGCCTGGGAGGACTGCACTGAGATACTGACATTTGGGCAAAACTTGAAGGAGGGTGAGGTGTTAGCCCTGATGGCATCTGGGAAAAGAACGTACCAGGCAGAGTAAACAGCTCGTGCAAAGGCCCTGAGGCAGGAGTGTGCCCAGTGTGCTGGAGGACCAGCAAGGACAGTGTGGCTGAGCTTGGAGTGTGGTGGGTGGGAGGGGGAGCTGAGATCAGAGAGTTGATGGGGGCGGTGCAGATCATATAGGGCCTTGTGAGCCATTTTGAGGACTTTGGCTTTTACTCTGAGAGAATTAGGGAGCCATGGCAGGGCTCTGAGCAGAGGAATGACTTGATATGATTTGCATTTTTAAAAGATCCTTTTGGAAGTCAGTCGGAGAAAGATAAATATCACATGACCTCATTCATATGTGGGATATAATGATCAACATAATTTGATAAACAAAAATAGACCCAGAGACAAATGGCAGGGGAGGTGGGGGGTTAGAGAGCAACCAAAGGACTTGTATGCATGTATATTAGCATAACCAATGGACACAGACACTGGGGCGGTGGGGGCTTGCCCAGGGTGGGAATGGTTGGGGGAGGGGGGCGGTCAATTGGGGAAAAAGGAGACATATGTAAAACTTAAGATAATAAAAAAAATTTTTTAAAAAATAAAAGATCCTTTTGGCAGCTGGGTGGAGAACAGACCACAGGGGTCAAGAGAAACACAGGGATACTGGAAACGTTAACAAGTTCCGCCACTTTCTGGCTTTAACTGGGACCAGTGACTTAACCTCCCCGTGCCTCAGTTTCCTCGTCTGTAAGATGGGGACAATAGCGCTCTCCCCTTAGGAAGATTGAAAGCACTTAGACGTGACAATCAAATGCAGTATATGAGTCTTGATTGGATCCTGGGTGGGGGAAGGGAAGGGGAACCCTAACTATGAAGGATGTTTTGAAGACAAATGGAGAAATTTGAATATTGGGATTTTGTATCAATTTAAAATTTTGGGGATGTGTGCTAGTGGAATTGTGGTTACGGGACAGAATGTCCTTGTTCTTGGGAGATGTATGCTGAAATATTTAGGGATGAAGAATCAAGATGTCAGCAACTTATTCTCAACAGGTTTAGGGGGATAAATTTATATCAAGAAAAGCAAACACAGTAAAATGTTAATGGTTAGTAAATCTAGGTGAAGGATAAAAGGGTGTTCATTGCACTATCCTTCAACTTTTCTGTAGGTTTAAAATGTTCAAAATAAAGAGTTTAGGGACAATAATATAAAAGTCTTAACAAAATGTTCTTTAAAAGGAAAAAACAACAACTAAAAAAGAAGGCACTTAGAACAGTGCCTGGCCAGTAATAAGTGTTTTGTAAGTGCTGGTGATTATTCAGTAATAGTTATGATTACGTTCAATTGTTTATCCTCTGTCTCGAGATGCCAGACTGGAAGGGGAGACAGGATCTTCCTTTAGCCTAGTGGGCTCTTCATCCATCTGTCCTTTGATCCATCCATCCATCTATCAGACTCTCCATCTTGCCACCCATCTAGTTCCCCATCTACCTACCTATTCCCCCATCCATCCATTCACCTATTCCCTCACCCATCTGTCTATCCATTTCCCCAACCACCCAGCTACCCACACACTTTTAACTCTATCCACCCATCTTTGCACACTCACTCACCCACCCACCCCTGCACCTGGTCACCATCCATCTCCATCCCAATCAACCATCCCATTTCATCTACCCCATCCATCCATCCATCCATCCATCCATCCATCCAATATTTACTAAGTCAGTATTGTGACTCTGCGTTTACACAAGATAGGCATGGTCACCACTCTCAAGTTGCTTATAATTTGACAAAGAGGAGACAGACCTTACACAACCAGTAGCCTACTTAGCTATCTAGCTGACAACTGGGATGAGTGCCATGAAGGCAAAACAGATCTATGAGGCCATAGATCCAGAGCACGAACTAGTCTAGGGAAGGAAAGTGAGGGAAGCCTTTATTAAGAAACATTTCACTCAGACATTCAATGCATTTGGGAATTAACAAGGCCCTTTCACCAGCAAAGCAAGCCTGAGCCATGTGCTCAACCTGGCCGGCCATGCTGGTGGGCTCCAACCACCACTGGCTGTGGTGTGGCTCCTGATCGGGGCAATGGTGTCTTGTCCAACCCCTCCCAGGAATTCTAACCCAGCTCTGGGAAGACAGCAGGGCACCAGGAGAAGAATGGGAGAGAGACAAACAGCCTAAAGAGATTGCCAGAGAGAAAGAAGGAAGCCTTTCACCTTGACATCAGGCCCAAATACTCACTGCTGCTACTAAGAAGGAAATGCAGATGGCTCAGAAGCATGTGAAAAGACACTCATAATTAGGGAAATGCAAATTAAAACCGCACTGAGACAGTGTTTGTCACCTGTCAGATTGGCGAAGCTCAAAAAAGGCTTGATAACGCAGCAGTTGGCCAGGGAGGGGAGCGAGAGGTCCAGTCACACTTGGCATTGGGATACACTCTTTATGGAGGGCAATGCAGCAATACCCTCTGCCCTAGTGATGCCACCACCAGGAACTTACCCTGCCAAGAGCTCACACATGTGTGAAATGGAAGGTGTGCCAATAAGAGCTGATATATATTTTTCCCATTGATTATTAGAGAGTGGAAGGGAGAGGGAGAGACAGAGAGAAACATGGATGTGAGAGAGACACATAAATTGGTTGCCTCCTGCACACACTCCAACCGGGGCCGGGGATTGAGCCTGCAACCAAGGTATGTGCCCTTGACTGGAATCGAACCCTGGACCCTTCAGTGTGGGCCAATGCTCTAACCACTGAGCAAAACTGTTAGGGCAGAGCTAATATTTACTGAACCATGAGCATGTCCTCAGTGTGATTCTACATGCTTCACTAGAATTCATTCATTTACTCAACACAATGGGCCCAGGGAAGTGCTATAAGTCTCCCCATTTCTCAACTCCCATGGTAGCCACATCCTATATAATAAAGAAGTAATATGTAAATTGACCGTCATGCCCTCACACAATATAGCTGCCCCCATGTAGTCAAAGATGACCACCCTCATGTGGTCACAACATGGCCACCACAAGACGGCTGGCAGGGGAGGGCAGTTGTGGGCGATCAGGCCAGCAGGGGAAAGCAGTTAGGGGTGACCAGGCCTGCAGGGGAGGGCAGTTGGGGGCGACCGGGCCGGCAGGGGAGCAGTTAGGCATCAATAAGGCTGGCAGGGGAGTGGTTAGGGGGTGATCAGGCTGGCAGGTAGAAACGGTTAGGTGCAATCAGACAGGCAGGCAGGCAAGCGGTTGGGAGCCAGCAGTCCCGGATTGTGAGAGGGATGCCCGACTGCTGGGTTAGGCCCGATCCCACAGGGATTGGATCTAAATCAGCAGTCAGACATCCCCTGAGGGGTCCCAGATTGGAGAGGGTGCAAGCTGGGCTGAGGGACCCACCTTCCAGTGCACGAATTTCATGCACCGGGCCTCTAGTTTGTAATAACAAAAGATTATCAGCTACTCAATGCCCACCCAGAGGAAAACGGTTAAACAAATTGGGGTCTATCTGAAAAGCAGGATGATAGGCAAATAAGGGGCAATTTCTTACGACAGAGTATCAAGTCAAAAAGGGAAGATGCAGGATGCAGCTTGGGTAGAATATGCTGCAACTTATGTCATTTTGAAAAGGACGTGTTCAGTGTATCTATATGCGCTTACAAAGCATCTCTGAAAAGACAGAAAGGAAACTGGTAACAATAATTGCCTGTGGGGGTGTTTAGGGGACAGGGGAACTGGGGACAAGGGCAGGAGCCTGCAACCACTTTCTTTCTTCCATCTTTAAAACACTGTTTAATGCAGCTTTTTATTTTGGAATAATTTTACACTAACAGACAAGTTGCCGCGAGTAGAGGAAGTCCTCACATACCCCTCACCCAGTTTCCGTTTCCCCTAATGTTACCTTGCGTCTCCACAGTGCACTTGTCGAAGCGAAGAAACCCACACAGACGCGTGACCATGGACTACACGCCAGGCCTGATCAGGAGTTCGTCAGACTGCCTTTCCCACCCATGCCCTTTCTGTGCCAGGACCCAGCCCGGGTCCCACATGGCATTCAGTTGTCATGACTCCTCACTCATGAATTCTGCAGTCAGATTTTGGATCATGCAAATATAGTCTCAATTTTAAAATAAATACAATGAATAAAAAACAAAAAAACAAACCAGCTATAATCCCCCAAAATCAAAAGCAAAAACAAAATTTTTTTGCTGATGCCAAACCCCCCCTCCTGTCTTCTCACCCCCAGAAGGTGGTGGTGGGGAGGAGCCATATGCTCTCGATTCCTTCTCGTCTGCAGGCGATGCCTCCTCCCTGAGGCCTTTCCAACCTCCAGCTCATCGCTATCTGTCCTGGTCCCCGGGGACGCTGCATGAATCTCTCTTACACAGCACTTATCACCGCCTGCCTTGTTTCATAGTTATTTATGTATGTGTCTGTCTCCCCAAGGGACCGCGAGCTTCCAGAGCAGGGGACAGGGTCTGTGTGCCCTCTGCCTCCCCTCCCTGGTGTCTGATAGGATGCTTGACTCATACACATTTGCTGAATTGACATCTTCGCCCCTGATGTCAGGAGGAGGAGGATGGAGGAGGAGGAGGAGGAGGAGGAGGAGAAGGAGGAGAGGGGATACACGTAGGAAATTAAAGGGGCTAACCAGTACTTACTGCTATAGGTTGGTGACCCACAAGAAATCATAATAAAAACAAATGGTAAATATCTAATTATAATGATAATTATATATATGAACAACTTCTATGACTAAATAATTCAAATTTAGTTCTTTCCAGAGATGATCTCATTTAATCGTAATATTAGCTCTACAAAGTAGATGTTATTGTGATACCCATTTTGTAAATGAGAAAAATAAGGCTCGGGGAGATGGAATGACCCACCTAGAGTCCAGAGTGCTGCTGGGTTTCACAATCACAATATTCTGACACTAAGCCTTAGTGAATTTTTCATTTTCGACATTGAAACTGAGGTTCAGAGAGGTGAAGTAACCTGGTCCAGGTGCCCCAGCTAATGAGAGACAGAGCTGAGATCGGAACCCAGATCTGACTCCAGTCTGGACCACACTGTTCTCAAAGACCCATCCCAGAGCCTCAAGGTTTGGTCAAGGGAAAGGCACTTGAGACTTCTGCCTGGGCAGGGCCTGCCGGTCCCCCAGCCTCAGCCTCTGATGCCCCTGCCCGGCCCTGCTCACCTGGCACATAAGGATCAGAGGCTCCCGGAACTCGGCCTGGCAGATGGCACAGATATCACCAGCCTCTGTGCACTGCTGCCCAGTGGCCCGGACTCCGTAATTCTGTTTGTGGGAGGGGAGAGAGAGAGAAACACAGCTGTGGACCCCGAGAAGCACACTGAGACCTGTTTCCGGCTCTTGGCTCCTAGTTCCTGTGACTTTGGCCAGGACCACATGAAGCCGACTCACCTGCGAGGTACAAAGAAGCTTCAGGGCTTTCCTGACTCCACCCACGCGGCCACAGATGTCGAAGGACTGAAAGGAGAGCAGGGTGATGGTTGAAAAGCATCCCAGGATTGTACAGGATCTCGCTTACCACCTCCAAGCTGCCCCCGCTGCCCCCCTCGTCTTTGCCTCTGAGCATTTTCATGGCACTTCCTCCCATCTGAAACTCCCCCTTCCCACCAGTTCTGCTTGGCTTTGGACTTCCTGTCTTCCGTCAACAGCCTCCCCTGTCCCTGGGCCAGGAGAGCAAACACAAGGCATGCACACTGCCTTTTCCTCTCCCAAGCCCAGGGCAGGCATTGCTAATCGATCACAACACTCTTCATCTGAGCCCAGCCAGAGCCGATAATCCTCCAGCTAGCACTCCAGTCAGCCACTTCCAGTCGATCAGGATCAGTAGGCTAGATAAGCCCCATGGGCTGACACAGCCTGCACTGCCTGGCTAGCCCTGCTGGGAAGAAGGACCGAGAACACAAGCATTTCCCCAGGATTCTCCAAGGTCAAAGAAAGAGGAGGATGTACTTATTGTGGGGGGGAAACTGATTTGTACTAATGATGAGAAGGGAAGGACCTCATACTGATCTGCAGAGCTGACGGTGCACCATTTAGCAGGAACAGAAAGCGCATTCAGGGGCAGTGAGGTCTGGGGTAAGAGTGGCCTGGTTTGGACGCAGGCTGCCTGGGGTGGACGCTCATGCTGTTATCTCTGGCTGAGCGACCCTGGCAAGTTACTTCCCTCTGAGCCTCAGCTTCCTCGCCGGTAAAATGAGAGCAATGGTGGTACGTACTCTGAAGAGTTGTGAAGATTCTGTGAAAGGCTAGCCTGTGGTGAGCTTTATGGACAAGAAATGAGGGTGGCCCTGGCCGGTTTGGCTCAGTGGTTGGAGCGCTGGCCCGCTGACTATACTGTCGCAGGTTCGATTCCCGGGCAGGGGCACATGCCTCGATTTCAGGCTCAATCTTCAGCCCCAGTTGGAGCGAGAACAGGAGGCAACCAATCGATGTACATCTCTCAGGTTGATGTTTCTCTCTCTCTCTCTCTCTCTCTCTCTCTCTCTCTCTCTCTCTTTCTCTCCCTCCCTCCCTCCCTTTCTCCCTCCCTCCTTCCTCCCTTCCACTCTGTCTAAAATCAATGGAAAAAATATCCTTGGGTGAGGATTACAAAAGAGAAGAAAATAAATTAGGGTGGATTTAACCATGAAAAGAAATGAAGTCCTGACAGGCCACAGTGTGGGGGAATCTTGGAAACACACTGCTCAGTGAGGGAAGCCAGACACACAAGGTCACACATTGTGCGACTCCCGTTATATAAAGTGTCCGGAACAGGCACATCCACACAGATAGAAAGACTAGTGATTCCAGGGGCTGGGGCTGGGGGTGAGGAGGGTACAGGAATGAGGAGCGACTGCTTCCTGGGAACAGGGTTCCTTTTTGGGGATGAAAATGTCTTGGAACCAGACAGAGGTGGTGGTTGCACAACATTGCGAATCTGCTACATGTCACAGAATTTTGTGTTGTGTGAATTTTCCCTCAATTTAAAAGAGAGAGATTAGGGGATCATTCCAAGCTCCCCCTGGCCCTCAGGGGCAGCGAGTGAATGGGGCCTCCGTAGGCCCGCCCTCCAGCTGCCCTCCAACCTGCCAACCCCCGCCACCTCACCTTGCAGAGGCTGTAGAGGATCATCAGGACTCCTCCCAGAAAGTGGCTGTTGGAGGAGTCGTCACCCATGATGTATTTGTACCACAGCTGGATGGGGACCAGTGATCGGAACAGCTGGCTCAACTCCTCGATGACCAGATAGAACTTTCCCTGCAACCACACGAAAAGCATCAATTATTATTAGCAGTAAAGACCCAAAGGACCCAGCAGGGGCCCCCAGCCTGGGCAGTAATGACACTCCAGGTCACAGGCAGGCCATTAATCAGCTTTGGAAAGCACTCAGGCCCGCTCCTAATGGGCCTGAGATATGGCCGGGGAGACATGGCCCCTGCCCGCTGCCCTCACCCGCTGCCCACCAGCCCAGAAGATCAGGGCTCCACGGATCACGTTTCAGGGAGGGAGAAACCAGACACCTTTGGCAGAGAGCTGGAGTGGGGTCCCTCCCTGGTGTCTGCTGTGGCTTGGAGGGCTCAAAGCCACACGTCGGGGCACAGTCCCTGCCCCGCACACAGATCACCCTCACCTCCAAGGGCTGACCCAGGCATCACGGGACAGCCCTCAGAGGCATGGGCAGGATGGACCGCAGGAGGCAGGTTAGGGCAGGCCAAGAGGTGGACGGGGTAAGACATGTGCTCTCCTTCCCAGCTCATCATCTGCTGTCACCAAGGAGGCAGGGTACTATCTGGGGAAAGAACATAGACTTGGGGACTCAGGCAGGGCCGGGTGTGAATCTTATCCTGCTGAACGTCTGTGAGCCTCAGTTTCCACATCTACAGAATGGGAGTCCCATTCCCACCTTCTGAGGTTGCTCTGAGGATTAAAGGGGACGCACAAGGAACGCATGTAGCATTGTGCCGGGCACAGAGCGGTGCTCAACAATTCTATTTCCCTTCCTCCCTTGGCTCTTGGACAAAGCCCCCAAGCTTGAAGTGGCCTGTGCTCTAAAATGGAACTGAAAATAACCCCGCCCTGTCCTGTCTAATAAAGTTAAACTTACATCTACTTATGACCCAGCAATTCCACTCCTAGGTGTGTACCCGAGGGAAATGAACACATTTGTCCATTTGTATGCTAATGGTCATAGCAGCTTTATTCATAAGATCCCCAACCTGGAAACAGCCCAAATGTCCATCAGTGGGAGAGCAGATAAACAGATTGTGGTGTATTTATACAATAGGGTACTACTCAGCCATAAACATGAACAAATGGCTGATACATACAACATGGTTGAATGTCACAGGCATTAGGTTGAATCAGAGGAGACAGTTATACAAGAGGACATACTGTATAATTCTGATTTATCGACCATCCTAGAGTAGGTAACACTAACCTGCCGTGATAGAAATCAGGTCAGTGGTTGCCTGGGGTGAGTGGGGGGCGGGGGTAGGACCGACTGCAAGGGGCACGAGGGAACTTTGGGGAGCGATAGAAATCTTTTCTCTCGTGACTGGGACGGTGGGTACACGGATGTCTATATTTGGCAGGACTCATTGAAATAGAGCTTCAAATCTGTGCGCTTTACTGTATTTAAATTATACTCAATAAAACAATTGAAACAAACGGAGGAACGAACATAGACACAAACAAATAGCCCTGCCCCAGGCATGCCTAGCCTTTACAAAAAATGTCAATAATCTTTGCTCTAACAATTCTACTTCTAGGAATTGACCCTAAGAATAACTACAGATGTGTGCTGCGATGTGCCAGTAGGAATGGTCAGTGTACCATTCTTTGTAACAGTACAAACCCAAACCAGTTACACTCTAAATGAGGGTCTGATTACAGCAGAGCTACGATGCAAAGCCAGCAGCCATTCAAATATTACCCTGAAAAACAGGTCCTTCACAGTGAAGAAACCCAGCACACAGCACATTCACCAAGTGATCAAGGTTAACGCCCCCAGTAATAAATCAAATGGACAACCTAAGCCCCCTGATAGGATGCACTGGGAAGGAAACAGCATCACTTCTGATAAAAAACAAATTCATAACCTCAATAGAATCGTGAGGAAACAAGAGACAAATCCAAATTGAGGGACATTCTGCAGAGTAACTGTCCAGCCTCTTCAAAAATGTCAAGGTCACAAAAGACAAAGAAAAGACCAAGGAACTGGCAGATCGAAGAGGATTAAGGAGACAAAATAAGTGCAACGTGGGATCTTGGATTTGATCCTGGAGTTAGGAAAACGAGACAGTTGGTAAAATCTGAGTAAGGTCTGCAGTTTAGTTAATAGTAAAGGTACCCATGTAAATTTCCTGGCGTTGCTAACTGTAAACTGGTTCTCTTACATGTGAATGTTAGGGGAAGCTGGGCGAAGGATATAACAACTCTACTATCTTTGCAACTTTTAAGTCTAAAAGTATTTCAAAATAAAAAAGAAATCATTCTGGCCACAAATATCTATTGACTCAGGGAAATGCTCATAGAGTTCTAAGTAGAAAAAGTGCAGTATGCAGAAACACTCATTTTCCTTATGTTTTTCTGTCTTCTCCATTTTTTTTTGGTACTGATCATGTGATATATTTAAATGAGAGGGGGGAGAAAAGGTTATAAAAACATGTTGTGTATCCAACTAATGGACGGTGTGCAGGGTGTGAACAGAGACTTTATAGCCACTCTATTATATTCTGTCTTGATGGGCTGGGCACTGGTCACATGTGGAAGGGGACCCCTTGAAACGGATGTGCCCATTCTGCTAAGGACCAAGGAAGGGCATCTCTGTGATTGTTTGGCTGCCTCCCCATAGTGAGGTCATTTCCTTGGGGGCCTCCTCCCCCCCCTGGACTCCCACCAGCCCCTGACTCCCAGAAACATCCCCTGGAGGGGAATGTGGGTGTCCCTCTGGAGCCTGTGGGAGGGTGGTGGTGACCACGGAGCAGAGATGTGGGGCAGGGCCATCATGTCTGACGTGCCAAAGGTGCGATGGATGTTGGAGCAATGGAGCAGCAGCCCAGGGACGCCTAGGGCTGCCCATGCCCCGACAGCAGGCTCCAGGCTCTGCAGAATACCCAGGCTGTGAGCTCTGTTCTCCTGCACCACCAACCTCAGCTGCCCCATGCCCCCCTCAATGCTCTCAACTACCGCATGTTCCATCTCATTCTGGACCAACAGCCCAGTCTCTCCCAACTTCCAACCTTAACTTGCTTTTATCACTCCTCCTTGAACCTCCAAAGAACTCTCCTTTCTTCCTACTTCTCTGCCTTCCATCCATTCATCCCTCCGTCCCTTCCTCTGTTCCTTCCATTACTGATGATGGGGACTCCAATACATCCCCAGAATTTCAGAGCAGGCTCAGGTACCAGCATCTTGGCCCTTCTGTCAGTGACTTCTCTATATAGACCCAGCTCTTCCTCTGCAGATGGCATACTGGTCCCCTGTTCTTTGCTGAGCGAACACCTGTTCCTCTTTTGGGTCTCAGCCATGAGAAGCCTTTCCCAACTCCTTAATTAAATTAGGTGCTCTTATTACACCCTTAAATCACTCCTTTAGAGTGCTTTTCACAATATTTAAAAATTGATTTTCCTATCTGTCTTTCCCACTGGACCATGAGCCCCATAATGGTAAAGATAACCTGGCTCCTAGTTGTATCCCCGACATCTAACACATAGTAGGTGCTCATTTAGTAACTGGGGACCTCTGAAGCTGAAGATCCTACCCTCATTACTCGCATCAACCTCCTAGAGCAGTGGTTCTCAACCTTCCTAATGCCGCGACCCTTTAATACAGTTCCTCATGTTGTGGTGACCCCCAACCATAAAATTATTTTTGTTGCTACTTCATAACTGTAATTTTGCTACTGTTATGAATCATAATGTAAATATCTGATATGCAGGATGTATTTTCATTGTTACAAATTGAACATAATTAAAGCACAGTGATTAGTCACAAAAACAATATATAATTATATATGTGTTTTCCGATGGTCTTAGGCGACCCCTGTGAAAGGGTCGTTCGACCCCCAAAGGGGTTGCGACCCACAGGTTGGCGACCCACAGGTTGAGAACCGCTGTCCTAGAGTTTGCTGGTGAAGGAGAATTGGAACATCAAAGAGAGAATGTCTCTTTATAAGCCAGCAGCAATGTCACAGAAAGTACAGGGAGTGACTGCCTGTGCAGCATCACGCTGAAGGTAGCAATTAGCTGCCCGGGGGTGGGCGGGGGGGGGGGGGCACTTGGAAAAGGAGATAAAACCACCGGGGAAAACTGGGCATATCCCAGTGAAACCATCTCTCCCTAATTAAGCAGTTTTATAATTCCAGGTTTCTTAAGAATGTTATTTCTGATGACCACCAAATGGAATGTGTGGTCCCCGGGGTGTCAGAGAACAAGGAAAGCAATCCGATTAGGAGCTGTCTGGCCTCCCGGCCACCCGTGAAGGGGGAATGGGGCTGGGTCACCCAGAGTTCTCTATACGCTGGGGTTCTGATGAAGGGGGCGGGAGCAGTCAAGGCAGAAGGCAGATTCTATCCTGACTTCCTCACTGCTAGCTTTGGGGGTGGGACAAAAAGTGAAACGGGAAACAAGGAAATAACAGGGGGCTGACTCTGGAAGCGGGTGGTACATGAACGAGAGTGTGATGCTGAGAAATAGACAAAATGAACAGAGAAGGAGAATTTCTGAGAATGCACCTAGATGGGAAAGATGATTTGAAGTATGGGGGTGAGGAGCCAGGGCGGGGAGACATAATCAGATCGTTGTTAGCCAAGTGAATGGATAGAGAATGGAAAGACAGGAAGGGAATATTATTTCCGCATCAAGATTAACAATGAATATTTATATAGCTTTGCCTGCATCTAGATGCCATTTTAGTCTTTCTATCTCTCCTCCTTGCCCGCATCTCTCAGCTCAGGTGGTCTCTGCTCCTTTTCCTGTGTAAGCTTCATTCTCTCCTGCAAAGGGCAGGCGCTCTCCCGGTCACAATCATGATGGTGATAACTTACTGTGTGCTAGGCACCACTCTGCGCTCAACACTTTGAGGAAGTGCTATTAATGCTTCCATTTTACAGAGGCACACAGACGGCAGGTAACCTGTCCCAGGTGACATGGCTAGAAAGTGCTGGATCCACCTATATGTGGTAGGAAAGATGACCACTGGCAAGCTTCAAGCCAACACCCTTATGGCTTGACCTCCAACATAACAAGTTTGGTTAA